TGTTGATGTGCATTGAATATAGCAAGCGTAGAGATGTGAACATTGCATCCAAAACTTGGCCAAAAACTAGGCTGTTCCTCGCGAATCAGTCGCGTGCTTTGAACGATCGGCGCATCATGACGGGAGCGAATAGTCTGGGCAGTCGTAAGTAGACTTAAGCCAGTGATAAGTGTTGCTTATATGATGTAGACCTTTTCAAAAATGAGAATGATTGTCACTTTATACCATGACGTTGGAACACCCTTTAATATCCGTATTTCTAAAACAAACAAATCAGTTTTCTTTCCATGAGTTTGCCACCATCCTTGAAATGTGTCAGGGGGATATCCATTAGGCTTAGTGATTAATGTCGCTTCAATAATCACTGTTTTCTGACATATTCCTCCTCTTTAGATTGGTTGGTCATCACTGGCCATGAAGGACAGGATACTTTGATGGAAGCTGGTTGGGCAGTAGAAAAGCTGCCTTGGTCCTCGAAGAACTCTACCCTACGTCCGAAACTTTATGTGATATTGATTTCCATCTCATTATCTTCACAGAATGTCTTGCACTGGACTGTCTTTATCAATGCTGCTTTCAGTCCGACCACTAAGTTTCTCTGTATTTACCTGAATTAAGGATAATTCCTTGACTTTATAATCTATGTATGTCATCAAACTCGCTATCAGTCAGAGTAATTGTAAGGAGCCTACTTTACCAATGCCTATAAGCCAGGGGTTTCACAAGACTGCAAGCAATTTTACTAAATGATTTCATGGCGTCATGAAAACGCGACTCAATTACACTAGCCAGTAAGCTGATAGCTAGACTAGAACTAAGGTCGATCGCAGCCACAATCAATTTATCTACATCGCTTTATTTAGGACAAGATGCTTGATGACCGCAAAAACGTAGGTTGAGATTGATGCAAACCAGGTTATGATCAAATTCCAGGTCAGTAATTCGAAAAGAGTTGTTTCCATGTACAACGCCAAATGCAGCTGACCTGAGCCTGATCAATCCAAGTCCGAGTTGGTATTGATAAAGGAGGGTGCCAAAAGTCGGTGCTAATCAGAAGCAGGTTGGATTTGAGGATAGCTGCAGGAGACAGTTACTGCTATTTGATTACTTGATTACTTAAATTTTAACTCATGCACCCAGATCTCTGACTAGCACTACGATATTTGTCAATCACTCTTTCTTGAGATCATCTAAGTGGCGGTAAAATTAATCGTTGATTTGATTCGGTGTGAAATTAGTCAGGACGTAAACACAGTTAAAAAAATCTGTCATTTTTTGACCGATTTCATACCTTGGTTGAGATTTCTAATGTAATAGCGTGTTCACCAATGTTAACAGGGGTGGTTAGTGTTACACCGATGCCAGCAAAATCGGGTGAAAGTGGCACAGAGTCGCCAAGAAGATGGATATGAAGCAAGCTTTTCGAATTAACATAAAAAAGGAAGTTTGTTATACTTTACTAGAGTATTGAATACGCGTCACGGATATACCGTTAATATCGATATTGACTTTCTAAAGACACAACTAGATGTATCTTTTCTAAATTGATATCTATAACTGCTATCTTTAGTGATTAAGGTAAGCTATTAAACGTTCAAATAACTGAGTGAACTGTCTTACGATTCTTGGTTACACAATTTAACATAAAGCCAAATAAATTTTAAGATTAATTCATTCAACAAGACAGTATTTGTGTTAAGATTGATTTAAAAAATAACAACTAGATTTTTATTCATCATATTGGGTTGGTGATAATTTATCGAATTATATGCACTAAACTGTCCTTTTACCTGATCAGCTGATAACATACGGAACCTGACAAAACATTTAATTCAAAAACGATATTTATTACAGTAATTATTATATATATATATCATGCAAAGTCACTGATTATTCTCAGTAAGATTATGGTGTTAATATACAAAACACTGGTGAAATCGATTAGATATATGTAGTTCAATGTGCAGTGCTTCTCAAAAGATATGATTCATTATTCTAACACAGGCTTAGAGTTCGTTACGTTCGAGAAACCAATAGATGATTCAAGTGTAGGGTATTCATCAAAACAAATGGTTGAAATTTTTTTACACATATCGAATGAGCTATACCGGATAACACGGTCATAGATCTGAAGAAAACCGAAGACTAAGAATCAGTTGATTAAATCAATGGCTGTTCGTTTGAGTTGTGTCACGAATTACAAACTTTGTGATTAGATTCCACACCACAGTCTGAGTGTGATGTGACCTGTTTCAATATCGGTTGTATTGACTCAAATACATTCATTTTCTACTTACTCATAAATCTGGAGGCTTTTCTGAAATACTTTTATTTTCACAATCTTCTATGTTATTTCGTACCATGTTTTAATGAATTTACCTTTCTATTATAATTATTGGTGTTTTGGGCTTATCTACATTTTATTTTATTATTTCCTCTCATCATTGTCCTGATGTGCATTGTTTCAAATTGGGTCAATGAACATTAATGTAAATCATCCAGTCACTTATCAAGATGTACTTTTGGTTTCTTAAAGATAGAATACTTATAGAGAGTGGCAATTTTCCACAACTGAAGACCAAATCATATGCTTGGATATTTACCCAACTGAAAGATAAAGGAAGAAATTGTTTTCGCTCACTGATATCTTTTTGTTGTTATTATACCAGATCACTCAGTCGCACCAGGTTGTGTAAATAAATTACTGATTTCTGTTTTAATGTGATAATTTCCAAAAGATTTCCGTCCACATAAAAGTAATTAGTGCTGCTCTACCTTAAGTAGATTGTGTTACACTGGCTTCGATTTAAAATGTCTTCTTTTTGTCACTGTTAAATATTAGTTTTTAAATACTCAAAAGTTGCCATGTGTATGACAATGAACGTGATGATTGATAAACACTTTTCATTAGAATTAGCCTATTATTTTCACACTGCATGTAAACTATACACATTTATTCACTTTATTTCAACTTACTATGATAAATAAAAGTAAGAGATCATTGGTTGATTTGCGACTTTCATTTATGCCTGTGATTAGTCACATCGGATCCAAAAGGTCTTGGTTGAAAATTCTGTTCATAAAGAAAAGTTGAGCCTATCAAATATTCAAACAGACTCCCAGACACTATACTTTATTGACTGCTATATATTTGCGAGCATCAGTTCTGTGAGTAAATTAATAGGCTGAATATCTCATTTCAGTCCTCTTGTTATTATACAACTTGGTCTTTTGACAACCAATCATCATTAAAAATCGGTACTACACATTCTTGTCTAAAATCCGTATGTGATTGTCTATGCTAATAGGAAACTCCTAAACAGCTTCAAACAAGATAAAACAGCCGTTAAGCTGACTTCACTTACTAATGAAATCTATCTTAAGATGAATACTAAACAATTGTCAATTCTATAATCCTCGATACTGTTAATTTCCGTTGTTGTTTTTGGGTGAATTTTTGTTTTCGTTTCTCCATATTAAATTATTGAGATTTGTGGAATGTCAGTCAATTATATCAAGAAATAAATGTTGAACATGTACATCAGTGTTAAAATTGTCCATCTCTTGTAAATTTAAACCGAGTACGTTTAGTTATAAAGATTTCAGAGCTTTTCTTTAACACAAATATTTAGACTAACATTCTTTTCATGTCGGTTACATCATTTTCTAGTAGTTGAATCTCATTTGGCGTTTGTTCATAAAGTGATAATAATAATAATTAACAAAATAAAGCAGAAAAATTGTCCAGTAATTCCTACTTATGAGTAATCCACTGGCTAATATAAGTGTACGACGAATTGCTGTTAGACACTTGAAGATGACCTAAGAAAGCTTATATTTCACTTTGATTCCGTACTAGTCGGCAATCATTAATAATGCATAACATCCATTTTGAAGTATCAGAATCTAATTTAGTGTTACAAATAGCAGTTTTAATACTACACTATTCGGCTTTCAATTGATCTTCTTCAGTACTGGGATATTCGAAATGATTGGTTAATAAATATTTGAATCACAATAGGGGACTGTGGAACTTGTAGTAATTTTAATAGTTGAATTCATGAGTCTATTTAAGGTAGACCACTACTGAAAGCCTCGAGGCACTGGACGGACGTTTCGTCGTATTGTAGGATTCCTCAGCAGTGCTCATCAACGATCGCACACGTGGAACTTGGACCCAGGATCATCGGTTTCGCACGTGAAGGGATAATCTCCAGACCAATGAACGGGCTTTGAACGGTGTGAATATCTAAATTCAATGGATTTATAATCTTGCGCAATCCTTCATCCATTACCACTTGTGGATAACTGTCTCCATTCAGCACGTATTGAACTTCACTGATCACGGCTTCTCACTAGAACTCCAAGAAATCCATCTTGAAGCTAGTCACTAGTGAGCACACGATTAGTATCAGAATGGGGGTTTATGGAGGATGTAGTTGAGCAAGATCATGCGTTGACTAAAGTTAGAGATTAACACCGTTGGACGCCGGTTCAGATGTCTAGATGTTACGCTTTCGCACGCAAGGCGGAAGGTCCTGAGTCTGAGTCCCGCGGGTGGGGTTGTGGGTGCGCGCTGCCGAAGAGTCCCATACTAAGACGAAATGGCCACCCACTGCTTCTAGGTTTTCAACTGTAGTCTAGCTTAGATGGACTCATGAATTCAAATATTAATAAATATTTGTCATGATTTTTTGTCCTTGGTGTCGAATGAACTTTACCGATTAAGCTACACTGTGTCAAATATTCTAATTTTCACTAACCCTCTCTCTTCCCCTCAACTAATAATTTGATGTACAATAAATGATCACATGATAAAATATATTTGTCCAACTGTAACCTATTTTCGGTGTTAATTTTGATTTTTGAAGTCGTCTTAATCACTAAAAAACATGTTAGTTCAGTTGATGATGATATGACTTACTATTTTTGGTTCTCACACTCAATAACTTTATTCTTGTATTATTTTCTTTCGCGATAAACCATGAAAATTCATGTAGTCAACAATTGAATTGTCACTACGCTATGAATTTCCACAAAACACGAAGGGATTAGCCAGTAAGTTCCTTTTTTTTGTTGTTTTATTTCGGAGTTTATAATTCTCGATTTCTATAAACAAATAATCGTATAACAGGATTAGTTCTTTATATAAAGTTATAATAACTACACTTTTTAGGTTATTATTACAACACGGACTAACCTGACTTAGATACACGTTGAAATTCACGGAGCACTGGATATGAGTCTTGATCTGGTATTGAAGTCTTCATCTCTGTGTGTACCGATGACTCTGCAAGGTATCAAACTCAGAACTTTAGGAACTCCTAATAAGAGTGATATATTTAGAGTACTGAGTTGTCTTTTAGTAGTTTTAATTTTTGGATCCAGTCAATTTGCGATATAGATCAACTTTTGAATATACCTTCTATTGAAATACTAGTCATATGTTCAGTAATGCTTAACTTCGAGAGATACCTCATAAGTTTCAGTAAGAAGCTATGGCCAATGGAGTCTAAATACAATGGTGATGGCAATGAATGGACATCATACTGTATCACCTCAAATTTACTGAAGTTAAAGATTTGAACGGTTGGCTGACAAGTGAGCAATCTTAAAACAACACACTCACTGAGTCTTGAAGGTCTGGTAGAGTTGCGGGTGCTCATTGCTAAAGAAACTCATGTTATGAGGAATTAACTGTTGGTCCATGATGTAACCAAACTTCAATTAAGGCAAATCAATAATTCGTCTATAAAATAATTTTTTGAAACTTGTATTTTTAATATAATGAATAATAGAATTATATTTTACCACAGTAATCGATAGTAATAAATCTATATTATAGCAAACAGGTATAATTTTCTTGTAACTTTTTAATATGCAGTAATTTTGATCCACTAACCAATTGATCAATATTTTTCGAATGATTAATTTTATTTAATAAAATGTGACTCGATTGTTGTTTTTCGCTCTCTCTCTCTCTCTCACTCACTCTCTCTCTGACACACACACACACAGATACGGCATATTTTTATAGTGATTTGATAATTTCTTCATTTATTTACGCATGATATCATTAATGAACATATAAAGTAATATTTGTAATCATGTTTCAAAGTCTAAAATATTATAGATAGTTTTATATATACAATTTATGAGCACATTTATTCTGAACATCTATACAAATAATTAGTGTTTATATCAGTTTGAGTGATTGGTTTTTTACATTTATGAAGATTGTTCATAGATTGGCACTCATTGGCACTCATCCAAAGCCAAAGCATTTAAACATTAAAATACATGTATTTCACATTGTCGAGCGCGTATACTGAACCATCTGGCTATCTCCAGATTCTGATGGACTCATTTTTGCTCTTTTCACTACTCAGAAAATAAGAACGACGTGGTGCGAGAATAAGCGATTTCAGTATTAAAATCGTAAACCTCCATGATAAATTATAGAAAGTAAAAGTTCGAAATAAATAGTGTCTGGTATTTTTCCAAATTTAACGACCCACACAATGTGTAGTTGCATCTCCATCCGAAAATATTGAAAACGGTTAAGAAGTACGTGATTAGTATAACCAGTCCAAGTCAAATTTTTCATACGGTAATTAGATGAATTATGACACCTAAGACTTTCCAAAGTATCAAACAGACTTATGCATTCATCAAAAGTTATAATTCAAGAGGAATATATCATGTTATTAATCCATACAAAATTATGAATTGCTTGTGAATCCAATCATTTTGATCTACCTTAGAGAGTCCAACTATTCTGAAGCATTTGAAATAACATTGGATATTCTAGGAAATGCTAATATATTTATTTGGGGAGCTTACTGTCAACTAAAATAAAACAGTGCTTAGTATTTAGAGTGATGAAATCATTACACACTAGTTTATTTATTTTCAATCACTGTCAGTAAGTTCAGTGATCTGATTGATACGCAAATGGACTAAAAGTATTTTCGATTTGTTCTATTTTTTCTATTATTCTATTATTAGAAGCTTTATTCAACATTATATTTTTGGTACAACATAGAATTCTCAGCATAAAATATTTCAACAAGTTTCCTTTTCTTATACCTTGATCGATTGTGACGATAAATTTTGAATGATGACCAGTTAGATGTTAGAAGTTCGGTAATCCACATTTGATTACTGTTCATTTGTTTCAATGCATATTGCCAGCAACCATGATGTCTCTGATTGTACCTTTTTGTATCCCGTATAGCGAAAAGTTGTAAACTTTTCATAAACGCGCCTGAATAGGTTGTGCGCACAATAGACATAGTGATGTGCTAAAACAAACAACAAAACAGATAACTTGATGAAATATCTAGATCGGTGGAACAGGTAGCCCAGATATTCAAGCAGGCCGCCGGTTGATAATAGAAAAATTAAAGTTTGAAATATTTGTCCTCCTCGATTTGTAAACCAATAGTGGAGTTCATCAAATTATTTAGTTCTTAGAGGTTTGTATTATTTCATTCTCAGTTCTCATGATATTTCGTCCTAGGATGGGACTACACAGTAGTGATCTTCCATAACACAAACAGGAGTCAAACCTAGAAGCTTCAGGTCTCGGTGTTTCCAGCCTTCTGATGGTTGTTTAACTAATACCAGTCTGTAATGCTAAGTATTATTAATTATTTTCAAAATTTTCAATATGAGACTAATTAATGTTGTCGTTAGGATCAAAGTTCTGTACTTATGAAAACATTTGCAGATCTGCGGAGAAGTATAACATGATGCATAAAATGAAAGATATTTACACATGTAGTGATATGTAAATTATAACGTCTCTATAGGTCACTAGTTATATGTAGATAAAATGCAATCCATAAGTGAAATCTAAACAAGATTGTAGTAAAAGGCGATCTATTGACTATGTCACATAATGAGGTTACAGTTTATTGCTTCTTGGAGTATATCAAGAGATACATTGACTTTCAAAAAACTACATACAAAAATAAATAATGATTCAGGGCTTGAATTCAAAATGAACTCAGTGTGCATAAAAGTTAAATACATTAAACAATGATAAAATATTAGTATGGAGTTGTGGAGATTGTTTTGTTTTCGATTAAGATCATGAATTGATTGACGTTAGACTAACATTAGAAACCTTGAAGCAATGGACGGCCATTTCGTCCCGCTATGGGACCCCTCAGCAGTGCGTATCAATGATCCCACTGAGGAGTGCCACACCGGGACGAGTCGACCGTCCATTGCTTTCAGGTTTCCGATGGTGGTTTAGCATCAATCGATTCATGACCTCAATCAAAATGATGTACAAGTTGTATAACATGCCTTAACGTCATTCAAAACCTCCATCTTAAAACCTTAATGCCTTCGATTCAGTTTGTGGTTATACAATAGAACAGATAAATGCTTTATTATTCATTATGCGCTCTAATCATGTTTGGTCTAGGAAATATATGAAGTCCTAATAAGAATGACTCCATTGTCACTACCATGCTTTTTATATAGCCGAGACGTTGCTCAATCGGCATTGGCTAAATTTTCTATTGGTTTAATTATATTGAAATACTTAAAAGGTAAATACTTTCTCTCTATTACCTTCAAATTTTATGCATAATTGGCTTGGAATAACCTATATAATCCAAATAATATTGGTTTTCAATAGCTGGAGAACATTCAATCAATAAATATTGTATGAGCATTGGGTTGTGCACACACTTACCGACATTCATTTAAACTTGGGCACTCACCCTCCATTCTTCCGCCTATATGTGTCTAATTCACTAGAACCAATCCACTAATAGTGACCAAAGTCAAGAAATAATTACTGGGCTACTGTTCAAGATTCGTTTATTTTAAGAATAACTGTCAAAATCAATATAAAGCCTACTTTAAGGGAGCTTTATAAAAAAGGGGACAAAATACAGTAAAGATTAGTTTTATTCTGAGATCATGCTTAGTTTATTATTCCCTATTACCCACTGGATTTTATGTCTTGTTTAAGTCTTCTGTATTGACATATCCATAATAAATATATGTAAATCTGTACCTGTCTAATATACCCACACGCATATACATCATCTTATTGAATTCACATATACACAAGATGAGTAAACCAGATGATAAAAACCCTCCTAGATCAGCATCCCCTAAGCCTGCTTCATTGATTAGTTGGCTGTCACATGACAGCTCACAGGAAAAAGCAGATGTTGAACCAGCGAAGAAAGAATTATCAAAGGAACCTGTTAAAGAGGTTCCAAAAAAGAAAACTGGTAAGTTGACTTAATATGTTTTTTTTCACCTAATTACTTATTTAATTGCATGATGTAAAAATGGTAGGTAATTTAAGATCGACCACAAAATCTAAGTGAAAATGATCGTTTTCAGTGGATCGTATCGGTACTGTAAGATACTTTGAATATGCTGGTACCTAGGCTGTTTCTTTGAGGGAAGTAAAAACTTAGAATAAAACTTAGAAATTTAACCACTCAGTGATTTACCAGAAATATACTTTTATTAAAATACACAATGTTAAGTTATCTAACAATTTATACATTGCTTCATTGTGTAGTATATAATGAATCACTCAACATCAGTCACCCGTCATTCAAGCTATTCATTAGAAACTTTTAGATAAAACTCAGTGCTCATCTAACATAGTTATATTTGAAAGATACATCCATAGCAAATATTATCATTGGTGAATTGTTATGTTATTTATCACTAACATACCTTGATTTATAGTAAAGTTTAGTTCTGTTAGTGTATACAAACCGTATCTTTTCATATTGCTTTGGTTAGTATTAAATCCATCATACAGTTTCCTCCACGATAAGATCCCGCTGTTTCTGGTGCTTGTGATACCTGAATTCAGCAAAGGATGGAAATTATGATATCAAATAAATTGAGTACTGAGTAGAAAGTTAAATTTATATATATATATATATATATATATATATATATATATATATATATATATATATTTATAAGTATGGGAACATTGAGCGAGGCTGGCACTAGATAAATTCCGTATATTCAACATCAGTTTGAAAATTTTCAAGCTAAATCCT